GGGGGAGAGAGAGAGAGAGAGAGAGAGAGAGAGAGAGAGAGAGAGAGACATTTACTATATTCAACAATCAGCCCTGGGAACAAAAATGTTAAGACAAATATAATCATTTTGTGTGGCTCAACAAATACTATTTTGATGCATTAATGGATCTTAGAAGAATTATTAATTATTAAACCAATTAAATGAACTATTAGGTTGACTCTTAAATCCCAGTTTTGAAATAACCTGCTGATTGGTCTCCCTTCCTCAAATTTCTCCCAACTTCAGACCATCTTTCATTAAGGTGTCAAATTGAATTTCCTAAGGCACAAGTTTTATCATTCTATTCCCAATGCCACTCCCCCATTCAAGAAATTCCGCTGACTCCCTGTTACCTCCAGCATCAAATATAAAATCCTTTTAAAGTTCTTCATAACCTAATCCCTTCCTACATTTCCAGACTTCTAACACTCTACTCCTCTCCACATGTTCTATGAACCCGTCACTCTGGATTCTTAGCTATTCCTTGAATAAGATGCCCCACCTACTGACTCTGCATTCTCACTGACTGTCCCTATGCTTGGAATATTATACCTCCTCACCTCTGGTTTCCCTGGCTTCCTTCTAATTTCAGCTAAAATCCCACCTTCTGCCCAAAGCCTTTCCTTAATCTTAAATGCCCATATATATTTTGTATTGTGAATAGGTGTTTGAATGTTATCTTCCTCCTTAGAATATGAATTCCCAGAAGACTGGGACTGTTTCTGTTTTTCTTTAAATCCCTAGCACATGGCCCATAGACCTTACTTGTGAATATTTTGGTATACATGGGACTTTTCTTTTTGTTGTTAATCTCCTTAAGTAGTGCCTAGCAATCAGTTCCTTTATTTTATTAGGCAATTGTGGTTAAGTGACTTGCCCAGGGTCACACAGCTAGTAAGTCCATAGACCTTACTTAACAAATACTTATTGACTGATAAAATAACTGTGCTTCTGTTTCCTCATCTGTTGAATAAAGTGGTTGGTCTAAGTGACATTTAAGGTACTTTCCTGCTTTAACATCCTGTAGTTTTATGACTCTTCTTATTGCATGATGTCTTATTTTATTGGAACCCAATCCTAGAAATTATTGTCTTCTCTTGTCAGAAAAGGAATGAGACATGGTTGAATTCTCTATTTTCTTCAGGATGTGGAATTCACAGGGCCCTAGCATCATAGATTTGGAGCTGGAACAGAACTCATTTGAGTATAATCCAGGCCTGCATGATATATGGCCCATGGGCCACTTGCACCTTGCCAAAGGATTTCAGGTGGCCCTCGAAAAATGTACATGTTCCTGTTTGTCACGTGACCTGCGGCGACCAACCATTGTCAGTCTGTCTCTAGTCTAACCTATCTGCGGCCTGAAGAAGATTAGCCTATTTCAATTTTGGCCTCTACCTACTGCCAAGCTGGGCAGGTCTGGTCAAACCCCTTCATTTTACAGATAAGGAAACTGAGGCACAGGAAAGGGAAATTTTATTCAAGTAAACCTGTTTGGTTTCATTAAATTTGCAAGAATTAGCTAAGAATCCATTAAGCTCCTTCCCCCTCCCCTTTAGCAAACAGCATATGCTCAATAAATATATCCTTCCATTTGTTACAAGGCTATTAAGTGTCTGAGGCCATATTTGAACTGGAGCCTTCCTGATTCAAGTCTTAGCCCTCTACCCACTGTGCCAGTCAGCTGCCTACGCTATCTAGTCCAACTCTCCTCCTCTTCCGATTTTACTGAGAGGAAAACTAAAGATCCTGAAGTGTTTGGTCCGAGGTCACACAGTAAGTGGCAAAATTGAGATTTGAACTTAGGGCTTCAGACTCAAAGTGAGTATGCTTCTCATATTGCTGTGCTAAGACCAAAGGTGGTCTTTATAATTGAGCAGCATTCAGCTTTGATTGTTTTGTTGTTTCCATTTATATGACTGCTCTGTTTATGTCTATGCTAGATCTGAATTAACCAATACTTTTTGTGAGGCTTAAATAACATAATATATATTAAGTGTTTTGCAAACATGCAAGGGCTTTAGAAATGTTAGCTATTAGGGGCAAAATGACAATAGGAAAGATTAAGAAGACTTGAGTTCTAATCCCAGCTCAGACCCTTCCTAGCTTTATGACTCAAGTAAGTCACTTTACCCTCTCAGAGCCTCAGTTTCCTAATCTGTAAAGTAGAAAATACAGTCCTAAACTCATAGGGTCATTGTGAGGAAAGTTATGATGTAAAATTGAGTTAACATTATAACTATAGGTCAGTGTGGGCCACCAACTCTCCCCATGCATTATCTCAGTATAATGCCTTTCCTTGTCTTAGTTTCTAGTTCCCTAGAGAAAATAAGGAACAAAGGAAACTGGGGGGAAGAACCTCATTCAGGACTTGGCAACAGGGTACAGATTCTGAAGTTAATTGCCTTGTTCTGATAGACATGACCTGGGGCCTCTGATCTAAAACTCAGTTTTGGGGTTTGCTCCAAAAAACTCAATTAAAGAAATACTAATAAAACTGTCAAACATTCCAGAAAACAGTAAACAGCCTGTTATTAATAGTCTCTAAGCAAAACAAACCCATTATAACCTTCTGATGAAATGGTCCATCCCCTTGGAGACCTAATGCTTTGGTGACTAAGCAGGCCATCCATCGTAATAATTCAGGCTTTACTGAAATACTACCTCTATCAGCTGGAAGTACACAATGTTTAGCTGCTCACACACACACACACACACACACACACACACACACACACACACACACACAGACATACACAAATAGGGGAAACTGAAGCAGAAGTTGCTGGTCACTTCCCTATCTGGGAGGGCAGAGAGCACAGACATCCAATAGGGTTGGTGCCCTGGAGAGGTGCTCCTTTGGGGAGGAGGAAAAAAAGGTGTGTCAGCACAGTCACTTTTAGAGCTGACACAAACCTGATTGGGAAACGGGGGAGTGTGTGTATGCCTGTGTGTGCATGTGTGTATGGGGTGGGGTGAGGTAAGAGCCTATAAATCTACTGCCACAAGAGCTGAGTCCTTGAGCTGAAGGGAAAATCCTTGCCTGCAGCCTCCTGTTCACAAGCAGGGACCAAGTAAAAGAATGCAGAACCACAGGTAAGGAGCTTTGGAGGAGAACATGGAGAAATAGATGCTGTTTCCATCAAGGGGACAATAATCTCTCATGGGGCATGGCAAGAAGAGGTGAATGGCTAAGCATATTAGAATCATTACTTCTCTCATCTCTTCTTAGAGTACTCATCTTTAAAGAGCTCAAGGAATCATCTAAATGTAGGTGATTCTATTTACTTTTTAAAATTGAGATTTGCTTAGGGGCTTTCCATCTCCACCACTTGGTGACCGTTTCATCTTTTTTTACCTGTTTTACATGTTTTGTCTGCTTCTTCTAGGAGGTGTCCTTTCTAGCACCTAGTGGTGGGTGGCATAATAGGCAAAATATGCTGGGGTAGGATTCAAATGATCCGAGTTCAAATTTTCCTTCTGTCACTAATAACATGACCCTGAGGAAACCGCTTAACTTTCTTAAGATCTACTCTCCTCATCCGTAAAATGGAAATACTAGCATATACTCTACTAACCCACAGGCTTGTTGTGAAGGTCAAATGAGATGATGTATATCAAATAACTCTGTTAACTGTAAAGCTTCACAGATATTATATTATAACAAAGATAATGAAACACAATATGATAGCATAATAAATACAATAAAAAAACTATATAATAAGATAATAAATATTATATTATGATAAATTTAACACACCATTATAAGAAATATAATAAAATACTATGTTATAATAAATAAGTATGATAAAATATACTGTGTTATAATAAATATAATAAAATATTTTACAATAAATATTGCACTGTAATATTTTAAAAATGCTCTCAGACACTCCCACCCCTGCCCTGGCTGTGCTGATGACCTTGTACTTTGCTTTCTATCAGGGCCAAACTGACAAATGGGATCATAAAGAGTTGGAAATGACAACAATAACAAGCATGCTAACCATGGTGCATTGTGAATAAGCTCTTTGTGTTCCATTTATTTATCTTCAAAGAAGTTAGGGAACATAATAAAATAATGTTCTCAGGTCAGCACTGAATCTAGGAAATTGTAAGTAGACTATTAACTTTTGCTTACATGGACTTCTCCACCAGCCTCCTCTTCTCCCCTTAGCTCTTTTTTTTTTCTTCAGTGCCCTCAGGCTCTTTCCTCCTTTCTAGTTCTCAAAACCTATCCTCAAGCACATCCTGCACACTAAGGTGTAAATGACTGATAACATCTTGAAAGAATGAAGTTATCAAAGAGGAGTTCTTCCAGATCATGAAATTAGATCATAGGATGAGAAGATTCAGGGCTGGAAGGGACTTCAGTAGCCATCTAGGAGGGCCTTCTCATTTTACACATGAGGAAACTGAGGCCCAAAGAGGTTGTGTGCTTTTCGCAAGGTCACACAATGTCATAAGTCTAAGAACATTGGTTGGAACTGAGGTCCTCTGGCTCCAATTCCAATACTTCACTGCACCACACACTGAATTTTAGAACCTGGAAAGATTAAAAAAATGCAAAGCATCATAGACTATTAAAGCTGGCAGAGAGACCTTCCAATCCCTTCACCCTCTTTTTTTTTTTTATTTAAAATTTTTTTTTAATTACAGATGAGGTAACTGAGGCTGGCAGAATTAAGAGGCTTATTCAATTTGCATAGACAGCTACTGAAAGAGTCAATCCTTAACATAGATGTTCAAGGTCCAGGGCCTCCTTTTGGTTAAATACCACCCTTTATTACTGACACATTAGTCTGAATGAAAGCATCGGGGATTTAGAAGGAAAAGTAAATAGCCCTGCTGGAAAACAACTGTTGGGAAAGTCAGTTTGGCCCTGGTGGAAAGCAAAGTACGGGGTCATCAGCACAGCCATGACATATATCTATCTATCTATCTATCTATCTATATCTATCTATATCTATCTATATCTATCTATATCTATATATACACACACACATATATACATATACACATATATACATATACACACACACACACACACACACACACATATATATGTATATATACATATATATATATATCATGCTTCTGGAGTGTGACTTTACGCAACTATTTGCAACATCATGTATAACTACTTTTGTGAATCAAGGTGTAACTATTGTTAGCTCTATTGATTGCTCTTCCAGGTCTGAATCTTTGATCTTATGAGCCTCTGACCTTGTTTTACTGAGCTTCAGTTTTCTCAACTTTGAAATGGGAGTAATTGTTCAAAGTCTAAGTTCTTTTCCAAGACTAACATTCTGTGATTCTTGGGGAAATGGTGATATTTTGTCTGTAGAAAAGAAACTTACTAGACATGCTAGAATCAGTCTACTTTCTGTAGCTTGGCCACAGCTTGGGTTGCCATGAAAGGTAGATGATGATTTGAAATATTGAGGGAATCTTGGCTGGGAGTTCACCCAAACAGGCTTGTCCTGTGTTCCCCAGCCCCAATTAGTTCTGATGCTCACGCCTACCACCTACACACAGAAAAAAAAAATAGTACACTGGGTAGAAAATACAAGGAAGCCAATTTAGGTCCAGCATAAGAAAGCATTATGGAATTATGAACGGTCATTTTATGGCTTTCAAAGTTGTTTGTTTTTTAACTTATTATCTAAATTATTTTCCTGGTTCTTTCCATTTCAATCTTCTTCATTTTATAAAAGTCCTCAAAATTATTCATTTTATAATATTGATGTTATAGTAAGAAAGAGAAAAAAGAGGAAAATATCCTTGCAAAGATATTTATAACAACTTTTTGTGGGTATGAGAAAATGGAAACTAAGGGGATGCCCATCAATTAAGGAACAGCTAAATAAATTGTGGCACATGCATGAGATGGACTACCATTATGCTGTAAGAAATGAGGAAATAAATGATTTCAAAGAGACATGGAGGAACATATGAACTGACGAAGAATGAAGTAAACAGAACCACAACAACAATTAATAACATTGGCTGTGTATCCTGAAATGAATCACTTTTCCTTTCCATTTCCTCATCAGTAACATGAGGGGTTGGACCAGGTGATTTCTAAGCTTAAACATTCTTCGATCTGCTGCCTTTCTAGCCTAGACACACAGTCATCCTCGTCTCTGATGCCTCCTCTTGCTCTGATTTCCAGAAAGCAACTGTTCTTACATCCTAGTGGTCCTGACTCACTTTCCATTGGTATTTATTCTAAAGAAGGTCTGGATACATATTTGCCCA